GGTAATCTCATCTTTACTAACTACTGGAGTGGGATTGTGATTATACCATTTTTCTTCCACTGCGATCCCAAAGCTTATACAGATGGCATGATGCAAGTATATGCATATTTTATTATGTCGGACCAAGTACTCGTGCTTCGCCAGTTGAGGACAGCCGGATATAAGATGATCTATTGTTTCTGAGTATTGTTTGCACATTCGACATCTATCATTTGCTGTTATTTTGAGGATATGTTTCTCATAATGTCTTGTACGTAAGGCCTGGTCTTGGGCGGCCGTTATCAGGGCCTCTGTTTCACCTTTTACCTTCCCTCTCGTGAGCCACGCAAACGTTTGGCATTCATTAATCCCTGGCCTCTTAATTCTCTTCACGTATTGACCATGAAGCTGCTTTCGTATCCATTTATCCTTCAAGGTATTCCTTGTCATGGCCTTAATATCTGTAGACAGTAATTCTTCTTCATCCTCGACCGCTTGATTTTCTATTTCCGGTAAATGTGTCTTTACAATTTTTATCGCTGACTTGACTACTGACTTTCCAACTCGAGGGTGCCTTTCACATCTCCAAATTTGTCTAACTAACTTATCATTTCTACGGCTTCTTAAATAATTGGCTATGGATACAACTGTATTATCATAAGTCATCTCTAATTGCCTGAGTCCTCTACCTCCTTCTTTACGACTCACATATAGCCTGTCTACATCAGCTCTAGGATGCAGCTGTCCATGAATAGTAAGCATCTTCCTTGTTTTACGATCTAGGTCTGCAATTTCCTTCTGACTCCAATCTATGATTCCAAAACTGTATTCTACTATTGGAACAGCTATACTGTTGATGGCTAGCAGTTTATTTCGTGCTGTTAAGTCTGAACGTAGTACCATCCTAAGCCTCCTTAGATATTCTTTACTGATGGTCTCTTTCATTTCATCATTACACAATTCTGGGTTTTCATAAACTCCAAGATATTTATAGCTTTCTCCAGCATCTAGGTTTTTGATGGTAATATTTGCCTGGACTGTTATGTTTTCCGTTTTTTCCACTTTTCCGTTCTTTATTGTCGCTTTGGCGCACTTATCTAATCCGAAGTTCATATGAATTGTGCTACTGAAGTCGTGAACTATCTTAATTTGCTCTTCAAGCGCTGTGTCCGAACTCGCGTATAGCTTTAAATCATCCATGTACAGAAGATGTGTTGTTGGCTGCTCATCTTGAGTAGTTTATATCCCAATTTTGGCTTTTGATTTAGCATTCTGGACAGGGGTACATCATCATGCAGAACAGGAGAGGTGATAGTGAATCTCCTTGGAATATTCCAGATTCGATTTTAATCTGCGGGGTATTATTGATAGGTGCATCCTTAGATTGTATCTTTAGCTGGGTGTTCCATTCCTTCATACTTTTTTCACACAGATTGATGATGTTTGGGTCAATTTTGAATATTTAAGTATTTTCAATATCCACTGGTGTGGTACGCTATCGTAAGCTTTTTGATAATCTATCCAGCATAATGATAGATTTTTCTTTTTACTGTGTACGTCCTTCATTATCTTTTTGTTATATAATAGTAGATCTTTACATCCGTATGAACCTTTGCAGCATCCTCGTTGCTCAGCTGGAATCAACTGTTGAGCTATTAGGTGGTCATATATACGAGACGACATTATCCCAGTTAGTAATTTGTACAGTACGGATAAACAAGTAATGGGTCTGTAATTTTCTGGCTTAGAAGGGTCTCCTTTCTTGTAAATAAGATACGTGATGCCACTATTCATCCACGTGGGCAGATCTTCTTCTCCTTTTAGTATTTTTGTTAAGATTACCGCTATTGTTTTATGGGTGGCACTTATCTTCTTTAACCAGTAATTATGGATTCTGTCAAGCCCACCGGCTTTCCAGTTGGCAGCTTTACTGAGTACATCCTTTATTTCCTTCTCCGTGATGCTTTCACCGGTCGTCATGCGTTCTAGGTGCTGATAACTGTCAATAGTTTCCTTCATCCATTCCGTGTTCTCGTCGATAATTTCCTTCCTGCGCCAGATTTCCGACCAATAGTGTACTACATCTGTCTCTCCCGGCACGTCTTGCGGTGTCTCAGCTTTTCCATTAAGTTCTTGGTATAACCTTCTGGTGTCATATTGGAATAAATAATTCTGTCTGCGGAATGCGACTCTTTATTATATCGCTTTCTACGTTGGGCGTAAGCCTGTATCTTTTGTTTTAGTTGTTCTTCTACTCTTACCCGGTCTTCTAAATTGTTTATGGTGTATCGACATTTCAATTGTTCTAACTTTCTTCTTGTTGCATTTCTCAATTTTGAGTTATCTTCTTCATGGAGGATTGAGAGATCGGATCTGAGTGAGTTTTGAGATCTTGGCCTCTTCGCTTCTCCCAGGGGGCAGAAGTCTCGGTGTATCTATTTGTAGGTGTCTGATTGGTTCTTCAGTTAATTTTTGATGTGGGCTTACTTTCATTGTTACTATTTTTGCTGTCGCATACAATAGGTGGTTAACCTCCGTAATATTTTCAATCAGTGTTTTTCCAAGATTTGTGAAACTGCTTCGTTTGCTTGTTTTACTATCATCTTTAGTTTCATGTTATCTTGGAGTTTTGGTAGTTTCAGTCTCTCGTTTATGGGTGAAGATTTCGTGTAGAAACGTATTCTTCGAGAATCTCCTGTTTGATAGTATTATCTGTTTGATCTTCACTCATATCTCTTCTGTATCCGGCTCAGTTGTCACTGAGTCCAACTCACGTTGCTCTCTCACTTCGATCCGTATTGCTTCGCTTACTTTACTTTTCATCGCTCTTATCATATTTTCATTAAATTTTCCGCTGTTCAGTAGATATCTGCGCTGCGTTGCGAGCTTCTTGGAATCCATGTACGGTCTGCTATTAGGATTCCTACTTCTCCACATGTTATAAACCTCTGCTTCGCCTATTGATTGCTTTGCATTGGTATAGTGGTAACACCACATCAGTTCGTTAATTTCTTCATAACTCCAAGGCCTTTTAGTAAGTTGATTTATTCGATTCTCCTTAGAGCGTTGTTCAAGTGATGCTGGGCTCTGACCATGTTCATCAGGGTAACCAGCAGCTCTTTCCGGATGGTTTTCTGTGATCGTTATGGTGTTGAGTCCGGTTTGAAGGGTCCTTTGTGTTACTGATCTAGTGGCGTATGTTGCATTTGCCTGTGTTACCACAGCTGCGTAGTCTTGGTTTTGTCCATTCTCGTTCCTTTGTCTATAGCCTAGGGTGCTGTTAATCCGGGGATGCGCCACCCATCACACCTTCACTCCCTTCAGGCTGAGCATCACGACGGTTTCCGAAGAAGGGACCAGCCTCAATCACCTTCCCGCCTCGTAGTTTCGTCTTACTTCTCGTATTCATTTACAGTTAATTATTTTTCACATTGCCTCCGAACAATGGTGCAGCTCAGGGTTTGGCAGAATAAGAAGACTACCAAATCCCGAACTCCCCGTCTAGGGCCGTGGGGGCGACGCTCCCCATGTACCTTCCCTTAAGCCCGGGTCGTAGACCCGACCTTAAAAGTAGATACCCCTGCGTGGGTTATTATTATATATTATTATTATTATTATTATTTTATTATTAATTATTATATTATTATTATTATTATTATTATTATTATTATTATTATATTATTATTATTTATTATTATTATATTATTATTATTATTATTATTATTATTTATTATTATTATTATATTATTATTATATACACAGGCTCGCATCTTAAGGGGGGTCTTCTATGTAACATATTTGAGGGCTTCATTAAAAGATACGGGGTTGAAGTTTAAAAATAAAAAACAATTTTTCTTAATATCTTGAAAACCGTCAACTGGAATGAACTAAATTTGGTATGTGGATTTACCTAAGCATTGTCCACATTCAAAAATTAACGCGCACTAGTGGCGGAGATACAAGGGATTAGTGGCATTATTTTTCCGAATAAAAATAGTACGCTACTGTTCTTTTTTTCGAAACGCGCAAGTTTTTGAATTTTACCCTCAATTAAGTTTTGTCCTAGAGTGCATTGTTTTTGTAAAAATAAAAAATAAAACAAATTAGATAATCAGAGCTTTATTTCAAAAATATTCAAAAAGACAACCATTCTGATGGATACAAGTGCATCTTTTTAATAAAGAATAAACTATTTCCGAAAAATCTGTTGTGGTTTGAATTTGATGAAACACTTTATCTATTCTTTCTTGTAACTGATCAACAGTATTAAGTTGTTCAGCATATTGCCGAAGTCTTGGAAATGAGCGCGTAAGAACCTTTGGCGTCTGTTAACATTCAAAAATTGAAAAACGAAACTTTGACTTGACTTTTGCAAAAAAAAAGGTAATAGTAACGATAACAACCGAATAACACATAACTTTGACAACCTATCTCCAAAGAAACGTTATCAAGGCCTCCTATTCTATTTTAAAACTAATTGTATCTCGGCTCTTCATGAATGATATGATTTGTGTTGTTTTTATTTTTACGAAGACAGTGCACTCTAGGAAAAAACACAAGAATTGAAGGGAAAATTCGAAAAATCGCGCGTTTTGGAAAAAAATCAGTGGCGTACTATTTCTATTTGGAAAAATAATGCCACTAATCCCCTGCGTTAATTTTAAGTAAAGACTTTTGAATGTGGACAATACTTGGGTTAATCCACATACCAAATTTTAGTGCATTCCAGTTGATGGTTTTGAAGATATCCAAAAATGTTTAAACTTCAACTTAAACTTCTTTTAATGAAGCCTTCGGTGGAAAAAGTGTTACATAGACCCCCTTAAGATGCGGTCCTGTGTATGATGCTTCCATTCTGGTCATGACTTGTGAATCACCCCTATATAAATTTCGGTCTCACGAAAAGTAGCATCATCACCTGTTTCATTCCCCACAAGCTATTTGGTTAACTCTCAGAAGTTAATGACAGTAGCAATTCATCTTCTTATATATAATTTTCGGAGTCATGAAAAGTAGCATAATCACCTGTTTCGCAGTTCCTCCATGGCTTTGAGTCTGTCATTGGCCAAAGACATCCACCTCACGTTCTCTTCTCTGCTGGATTGAAGTTGGGCTTCCAAGCTTGATATCTTGGTATGCAACTCTGAGGTGTGCTTTTCCAGTGCATGCACCTGTGAAATATACTGTTCCAAAGCAGCTCTATTGGGTTGCTGTTTTGCAAATGTCTCTTTCTGACTAAAATTTATAAGATCAAAATAGGCACACGAATATATTATCTAACATAACCCTCAAGGGTACCTTTCATTCTTATGCTTTTCCTCCAGAAGGCAGGCTTTCAGCTTTTGTAGCTCTTCTTGCAAACTTGCAGCTGCTAAACTATGCTTGTCTCTGTCGACTTTCAATAGCGTTTGATACTTTATAATTTCTTCATCTTTTGAACTTAGTCTGTCTTGAAGATCCTTTATAGAACCCTGAAGCATGTAGCATGTTAATGAATATCAAAGCGTACATTACTGCAACTAGTTAAATACGATCAGAGCTGATTCGTTGAGTATTGTAATTAAAAAACATTTGAGGTTTATATGAAAGGACCTTTCATCAGGACCTTACAACGATCAATATAAAACAATTTCAAAAACGAAAAACCACATATATCTTGACATACCTTCAGCGCTATAAGTTCATTCTGTAATTGAGTTTCGGTGCCAACAGAAATATTGTCACCTCCGGCACCACCACTAGAATTCATTATTTCATCCTTCTTGTTTTGCAATTCCACGATGTGTCTCTCATAAAAACTAATTTGACTTTGCTTGTCTCCGATTTGCTTCCTGAATAGATTAATCGCCATCTCATTCTCACTGGTTATCGTAATAATAGAAATTTATTAATCCTAGAAATATAATCTACGTCCGCGGTTCGTGCGGCCCAACGATATTTGGTTTTTACCCTTTGCTATCAATCGCAGCCTACTAGCTGCTTGAGCTAACTCAGCAGGCGACTGGAGCTCGCGGTAAAAACTCTTGATTATCATTATGTATATTGCTATGCCATAACTCCGCGAGACGTATGATTATCTTTCATTAAACATAAGTTGTTTGGAGAGATTGCTTATTTGTTATTCATTATTATTTATCTTGATAGCGAACCGAAGGGTTCTAAATCATACCCAAATTGAAGAATTTCTTAATGAAAGTGAAGGAATTTCGTTATCAGAATGTGGAATTGAAGTTGAAGACAACGTCTCAGGAGATGACGTGCAGGGTGGTACTGAAGTTAAATTGGTCAAAGAAGCTGAAGATCCATCAAAGTCTGTTCCAAATGATGGTGAAATCATAACGCTAAGTGCCACCTACAAAAAAATATTATTCGTATTGTTCATATGGGTTGGACAGTCAGATGTGTTCAAGAGTTGACCTACTCACGAAACGGCTTGAAGACTTGCAGATTCCAATTCCGATCTCAGAAGATACATTTTGAGCCAGGGATTTTGTGTTAAACTATATACAGGGTGTTCCTTAATGATATGCGAATGTTTAAGGGTGTCAATCTACATGAAAAATTAATGTTAGTTTGCTTTATAAACTATGGTCCAAAAATGTTTCCTTACAAAACTCGGTGTGCTGAAGTTTCAGGAAAATGGAAATTAATTAATATTTTTACTGATCTTTTTGCCAAATAACATTTTTTGAATTCCTCGTTCAATTTAAAACAAATAACCACTCTTGAATTGTTTCACTTTGATGTGCCATTTTTGACTAAAAAATAAAAACCGTTCTATTGTCCGAGAAAATTTATGTAATGATTGAAGAATGAATTTAGCAATAAATATCTAGTTGCTCTGGAATATGTCACTGGCCTTTGACATCTGACAAGTCTCTGCTATTCAAATCTGTTCGATGTGACATCTTTTTCATTATTTAGTTTTTACAGTCTTGTTAATAATGGTGAAATATTCAAATGCAGAAATGGCGGAAATGCATTACGTGTATGGCCTTGCCGACGGTTATCACCAGAGATATCCCGATCGAGCTTTGCCAGATAGTCGAACCTTTTCTAATATTCATCGTCATTGAAACTGGTTCTGTCCGAAAAGGAACATCTGAAAGTAGACTTCTATGTGTGAGAACACCTAAAATTGAGGAAGCAGTGCTGTCGAAGAACATCCTGAAACGAGTACGAGGAAGATCGCTAGACACTTAAATATTTGCCACCAAATTGTTTGGAGAATTTTAGTGGATTTTTTGTTATATCCTTAACATATTGTAAGAGTACAGGCATTACTTCCCATTGATTTTCCAAGGCGTGTGACCTTTTGTCAGTGGTATCTTCAAAACATTACACAGAATCCGTAATTTGAATCGATGATTCTGTTCACGGGCGAAGCTAATTTTTCTCGAAATGCCATTCAGAATTTCCACAATAATCATTTGTGGGCGGAATAAAATCCCTATGTCGTAACCGAAACCCATTTTCCAACACCAATTTTCGGTTAACGTATGGGCAGGAATTATTGGCAACCACTTTATTGGCCCATTCTTCTTGCCGGGACGACTTGACGGACAGACTCACCTGAATTTTCTTCAACAACAGTTGCCTTTGCTGCTTGATGATGTTCCGTTAGTAATAAGAAACAATATGTGGTACATGCATGATGGTGCACCAGAGCATTTCAGTGTAGCGGTTCGTGATTATTTACAAACTCTTTATCCAAATCGTTGGTTTGTCCGCGGTGGGCCCCAAGAATCGCCACCAAGGTCCCCAGACTCCAACAGTTTAGATTTATTTTTGTGGGGCTATCTTAAGACACTAGTGTACAAGTCCCATTAATACTGTAGAAGAATTAAGAGAAAGAATAGTTGCAGCTTGTGATAGAAAAAAACACTCTAAGGATATTCAACGAGTGTGCAATTACATAAGAAGGAGAGGGGAAGCATGCATACTAAGTGAAGGGGGCCATTTTAAACAATTTTTGTAATTATTTCGTTGGTTTTAATGTTATGTTTATGTTGTCAGTTGTTGTTGTTCATTTCCCCTAATGTTTTTAATTTTTCCAATTAAATTAATAAGAATTTTGCAAGTTAGACGATAGAACCGTTTTTATTTTTTTACTCAAAAATGGCGCATCTAAGGAAAACAATCCAAAAGAAATCATTTGTTTTATATTGAACGGGGAATTCAAAAAATTTTTATTTGGCCAAAAACTATTGGCGTATCATTTTTTGTTAAAAAATGTGCAACTTTATTAACTTTCATTACGCACTAAATATCAGTGAAATATCTGAAGCGGTTCTGAAAATATTAATAAATTTCCATTCTTTTCCTAAAACGTCAACATCCCGAGCTTTGTAAGGAAACATTTTTGGACCATAGTTTATAAAGCGAACTAACATTAATTTTTCATGTAGATTCACACCCTTAAATATTCGCATATCAATAAGGAACACCCTGTATACTCAGTGACACTAGGGAGTGTTACCCAGAATAAAATAATTGCTACAAACTTGATTTTTTGGCAATGAGGGGTAGCCTTACATCCAGAATGAAACGATAACATTCTCACAAAATTTTATTGACAAGCAATAAGGAAATAAATTAATGTGTTGGGCGACCTCGGAGTTGCTGCTCCTGTATACGTCTAGATATCAACAAAATGAGAAGTCTGGATGTGGCATCTCATTCCAAGCAAACTCGAACTTCGAGGATTAGCTGTGGCAGAGTTTGTGGCGGATGGTGCAAAGTGAATGGTCGCCTCCCCATCATATCCCACACATGTTCGATGGGATTTAAATCCGGTGAGCGGAGTGGCCACGGCAAAATATTAACGCCTGCTTGCTGAAGAAAGTCCTTAGTAAGACAGACAATATGGGGACGTGCGTCGTCTTGCTGAAAAGGGACGTGTGGACGGCCCACTAGGTACGGCAGTAAAGTAGTTTGTTGGACATTGCCTTGAGCAAAGAGAACAGGTGATCGGCTACAAAGGCAATAGCCTCCCAAACCATTATTCCAACTGTCCTGTGTTCATGCTTCTCAACAGCATATCCAATATCACGCCGTTCTCCACGGCGGCGTCTTACACTTCTACGGCCGTCGTGCGTTCCAAGACAGAATCGCGATTCTCGGTGAAGATGACATTATGCCATCCTGCCTTCCAATGTTGCCGTTGTCGGCTCCACTTCAAACGTGGACGGTATGAAAAAAGTCCAAAGGCTCGAATGTACGAATAGTAAACAGGTCGACCTTCTTCTGCAAGCCATTGGTCAGCGACCTCACGCGTAGTAGCAAAACGGTCTCGTAGGGCTAGTTGTCTGAAGCGCCTATCAGTTGGCCTTCTGCGAGTTCCTCTACCTTCTTTTATCCACACACGACACACATGCATTACCGTCATTGCAGTACAACTAACACGGCGGCCAATTTCGCGATGGGACAAACTAACATCTCGATAGGCAATAATTCTACTCCTGCCAAATTTGGACATCTTCTCGAGCCACTTTGTTATGCTTAACACTAGTAAATGAAAGGGCAATAACTAAAAATATCTCTACTACTCAACTCTCAGGAACTGCCTTCAGCACAAAAACTAAGAGATAGATTTTGACAACGGTAAACAAAATCAAAGGTAAAACGTTGACATTGTTGCCATAGCATGCTTTAAATGTAATCATTATGTTGCCAAAAATCCAGTTGAAGGAATTATTTTTTCTGGATAACACTTCTAATGTCACTGAGTATATGTACGCACCGAATTGGTGCAAGACAAAATAGGTAGCTTGCATCGCTGGAGCTGGATTATTCAATAACCAGTATGTCGGATAGTACAGTGTTTAGTACAATGGGACGACAAACAAGTCAAGTGTGGCTTGAGCTTTGCCTCTCCACTACCCTACTACTACTCATATCGTTCATCCAAAATCAGCAGAATCTCTAAGTTACCATGCATGAAGTGGAAAAGGCCTGTTTGTGGAGAACATAAAAATGACTTGAGCACTTTACATCGAAAATTAAAAGTATTAATGGTAAGTTAAAT